CTCTAATGGAATGGAATTGAATGGAATTCTAAATCACTATGAATTGACTAGTTAGAATAGTTTCTATATCAACATAAATGCTCATCTTTTCTGCATTGTTTATTCTGCCAAATTAGTTTTCACATCTGGAAACAAACTCTGACAGTGATATGTCTGAAAGGCTGATATCCGCAGATTTCTCTAAACCAACCGATCACAGAATGTCAGAAAATAGTAACAATAAAATTAATCACTAAGAAAACTAGAAACCCTTTGTTTCTCTCTGCAGCCATTTCGTTTAAAAAAGCAAAAATGGTTAATCCATTATCAAAATAGCTGCAGATTAATATTCCATTCATCAACTAATCTTACATTCCATTTAACATGTTAGGCCTCATTTTCTAATCTATTTAACCTCTTAAATACAGGAATTAAATCCTAATCCAACCTTCTAACCCTTTGTTTGTTTCTTCCTCTCTCTTATCTCAGGTGCAGTATTATTCCAGTCATGAGGGAAGTCGACAAAAAGTCAACTCTGGATTTAAACTGAGGAGAGAATAAAGGAGAAAGAGAAGGAGGCCAGCCTGACACACACACTTAACACATTTCCTACAGGTAGGTTTCACTTTTTAGTCATGATTATTATAATTTTTCTATATCAGGACGCTTCGTCATGCGTTTGCATTTTTTTTTTTTTATCATCATGTTGTGATTGCTAAAAATAAACTCTAATCTCTTCAATTTTATTATAGCTACCATCATGCAAATGGGTGATACAGGTGATTTATTGACTTGTCTTATCGAGGTCACCCTGCAGGTCGTTCTGTCTCGCTCTTTATGTGTGTCTGTGAATATCCCATCGTGTAGCAGTTAGACAGCCAGCGGAGGCATCAGTCGACTGTAAACTGGGTCGTGTTTGTCTCGTAATGAGAGCTTGCTGCCCTGACAGCTCACTGATGTACATAACAGCTAACCAGCCCTCTGTCACACTGAATTAACGCTGAGTCTGTTTGGAGGCAAAGTTTCTCTGCCGGTACCAAAACTTTTTCAAGTTGTTTGTGTGTTTGCGTACATGTGAATTCCAGTGGATGGGTTCAGCTGCAGCCTAATTGTTGTTTGACAATTGAAGGAAGCGACTCAGACCAGTTTTATGGTTGACAGTAACTACAGTAACTTGTTGGACTAGATCTGAATTTTGCAGCCATGCATCACTCTTAAGACTCATTAATGCGGCTTTTACATATGAAAAGAGAAATGTCTTTTTAAAATGATGGAACTAAGCTGCCCTTCCATGAGTCCATCACGTTGTTATGCTTGGAGGAGGTTTGTGATAATCTGCCTCTGAAGAAAGAGTCGTTATATCATCATTTCTTACAAACTCGAAAAGTCTCTCCTCAAAAAGTTCCACCGATGGTCCATACCAAATGAGGTTGGTGTGAAAGTGCCCTTACTTTCTAGTAGCTATATTTCAGTTGATAATGATGGATGATGATAGACTTAGGTTGTCTTGAAGCTGTAGTGACGGAAGGTTTTTTACTGTGGTTTGGAGTCTTGCGTGTCTTCGGCAATAATGGACAATAATTCCATCTGTCAATGTGTCATCGTGGCAAAGAGAGCCAACACTGATTATTAGATTCAGCAGAAACTCAGGCAGGTGTGTCAGAATGTACGTTCTGTGCCACGAATCACACCCTGAGTGGGAGACGAGCTTGAAGTGATCGAGTGACGTAGAGGGGAACATAGAGGGCTCATTTAATATGTCTGGACTTTCCCTCAGTTGCAGAAAAGTGAACTTGAGGGCAGAGTACCTGTGATGTCTAGACTGGTATAATCAATTCAACAATAAAGCTTGTGATGGCATAGGATCCTGCAAACCCATACAGATATTTTGACTTCTTTGCTTTGACAAGGTCTTTTTAGGGCAGTGGAGATCTAGAGATCTATTCACTCACCATAGAACATGCACTTAACAAGAGGAATAGCCACTCTCATATTTTTCATTGATAAGAAACTCTAGTCATCATCACCATGCAACCCGGCATTGTGCATTTAAATAGGCCTTTATATTATTCATAACAAGGCTGACCCATTTAATGTCGTGCAGGAGGCACACACACACACACATACACGCACGCACACGTCACACATACGCAGCACAGTGCTCTCCGGAGACCTCGCAATGTGATGTGAGGCTCTATCTGCTCACTCTTTAAGTTTTTATTAGATGCAATTACTGAAGTACAGGGATTTACTAATATTTTTATTTTCCCTGAGTGAGTTTATGATCCAGGCTGCTCAGTCATACATGCACATGTGCACCTTCACACAAAAACACACTCTACTCTAAAGCTCTTAGTCCTCTCTGTGTAATGTTATAATGGTAGTTTAGGGAAAGAGATTATTACGTAAATCTTATTCCTTGTGTCTCACATGCACATACACACAATCAATGTCTCAACGCACAATTTAGCAGATTTGCGAGTTCTTTTTTCTTGTTTCTGATTAGACCTGGTGATTTGAATCCCAGTAAGAATTCCCACAGTCTGTCTAAATCCTGCTTCTGACTGAAGCCGGGAGGGGGGCCAGTAAGCCGCTAAACCCACAGGCTATACACACAAGCACACACACACATACACATACACAGACACACACTCACACACACGGACACTTGTGTGCTCCCACCAGTGTAATACTGCAAATTTATTTTCACACACCCCCTGTGCATGTGGAAATACGACGCAAGCACATACTGCACTTTCACAGACATGACCGAGAAACACAGAACGTCAGAAACATACCTCACTTGCACCCACATAGGAGATTATTTGAAATAAACCCAGTTATAATGTTTTCTTTGTTTTTAAAGAAACTGAGAAGAGTGGGCAGCTGCAAAGAGAAGTAGTGTGAAAGATGCAAGAGAAAATACTGAATGAACGAATGAATGATAAGAGGAAGAACTGGTCACTCAAAGTTTCTGTCAAATTGATTTCCAACAAACGTTGTTATATTTCGCTGATGAGATGTGTGTTCATGTCATACATGCATGCACACTGTCTATAAAGAAACACTGCACATACTACATCCTATTACGTCACATAAAATCAACATGTGCTTTTTATGACTTACTTTCCGAAGGTCGTTTCAGCCACTAATTCCTGTTTGAACAGAAACATTTAATCTGTTTGCTCTGTGTGTTGTTTCTTCCTGCTTGTATTTATGTTTGAAACGTTTTCATTGTTGCCCCTCTTGACCTGGGTTCCCTGGCAGAAGATATATTATATTTCCGTGGGAACGTCCTGGTCAAATAAAGGATGAATAAAATGAGTATTATTATATTCTATTAATTTCCATTATTTCCTGTCTTTCATCCCTGTTACTTCTTGTGACCTTAAAAAAACAATACAAATCCAATCACCCCTGTGTTATTTGAAAGCCGATTTGTTTTCACAATATTTTGCGCAACTTGTCTGTGAATTTGGACTTTCATGCTTTTATTTTCTGTAACGAAGCATTTAAACATTTTAACAGTGTATTCAGGTGTTACTCACCTAAACTTTTTCACAGTCTTTACCATCAGACTCTGGCTCTGTCTGATGGGATCTCCCCTATAAATTATTCTGGTGTATAATTAGCAAAGAGCAGAACGTGTGGTGTCCCATTTAAATGTGACAGTGGCAGCACAGTAGAACCAGATCCAGCAGCCTCATGATGGACTCAGTTTTACAACAACATGTTGGTGCATCAATTAGTCATGGCAATGCCGACATGAGGCCTGGAGGCGGGCGCAGTGTTTGTGTTTGTTTGCGTGTTTGTGCTTGTGTGTTTCTTGTGTATCCATGTCAAACTTCGGTGGTGTGTGTGTTGCAGTACTTATATCTTTGAGAGGACCAATGTAAGCATAGACCCTACAGAGTGAGGTCATTTTTGGAAAGATCATTTGATCGGTCTTCACTTTTTCAATGGGCTGTTTGAGAGTTAAGACTTGGTTTTAGGGTTAGAATTAGATTTAGGGTTAGGATTGTTATGGGTATTATGTCATTGAATGTCCTTACTAAGATGTAGTACAAACAAGAACGTGTGTGTGTGTGCCTGCGCATGTTCAGGCAAGATTAGCATAAACCTTATAATCTCATATATATAATTTGTTTTATTGATAAATTATTTATTGTATATGTCAAATGAGTTTATTGTGCACCCACTAACACATTCCTACTCAGACACAAGTGCATGCTTGCAAGGCACACGTACATGAAAGTTCTGTGTCCTGCAGCGGTGTGCAGTCGTGCTCATGTAGTAGATAATTCTCGCTCTCACACACACACACACACACACACACAAAGCGCTTAATCTGTCTAAGCCATTTGCCTAATCAGCTCTCTAAGCACAATACCATTCATAGATACACACACACACTAACTGTCCAAACACCGAGCCTTGCCGGACTAGTAACAGCTTTATCAAGCCCCCCGTGTTACAACCTGTTGTTGCCACATTGCATCACTTCACACATCTTAAGAGGGGAGGAGGAGGAAGAGTGAGAGAGAGTGAGAGGGAGGTGTGTAGTCTCCCGAGCGATCACGTGACTTTGTGTTCATTTGCTCCATTTTTATCTCTCTTTTACCCTTCCACAGACTCTTCATCCTTGTGGTTCAGATCTGCTTTCAAAGCTCTGTCACATGGGGTAAAGCTGCTTCTTTACTCTTAGTTCTGTTTCCCTTTTTATCCATCTGTCAGTTACTCTCTCTCTCTCTCTCTCTCTCTCTCTCTATCTATCTCCAATTTTCTTTCTCTCATATTATCTCTCTCTTATTTGAGTTGTTGAAAGCAGCACAGTCACGTTTGGGGTTGAGTTGAAGGGTTGTGTCAAGCTTTATCTCAGGATTTCTGGAGCGCGATGAGAGACAGAGCTGATGCAACACACGGACATACAAAGTTCATATTGTGGATAAAGATATAAAATACAAGTGCAAACAATAATACAAATCAAAATTAAGTCGATTTTGGTAATATAGTTTCTTGTTTTTATATATATTTATTCATATATATATCACATGAAGCATCTGGACAAGCATGAAGCCTGATAGATTATGCCACTTTAACTCATTGGTTTTTCACTGAACTGTAAGGGACCATTTATAGTATATGAAAAGATCTACAGGCTGTTTACATGCAGTTATGTCACTGTACTCTGCAGCTCAGTGATGATTCGTCACACCTCTCTCACAGGCATGCAGGTCTCAGATGATGGTTGCATGCTATAAACATGTATGCCCGCAGATTTCATCTCCCACATTATGTAAGCAGGCAAACTGAATCCTGGCAGATTGTTTAGTGATGAGCTGCGGTTGTTCTTGGATCATTCTTTAGAGAGAAATCAAATCTCAGTTGCATGAAATCGACTTTTGTCAGGCGACTGTACAACTGGCTGCTACTGCAAACGCTGAGATGTTAAACAGCTGTAGATGGTGACAGGTCGGACACACTGCTTCAGGAGACATTTCAATATACAGAGGATAACGAGAGCCAGCATGTGTATTCTCAGCCAACACATACATACTACTACATCACGGAAGATGGCAGCGTTCGTATCCGGGACATTTTTCCTTCATTTCTGGACAATGGGAGGAAGTGGAGACATGTCTTACATTTTTATAAACAGTCTATTCTCTCACCTCCTTAACATAGAAATAAACAGAAATAAATCAAATTATCCAATTCTACACTCACAACTTGAATGCTCGCTCAACGTTATTTTACTGCTGTCCAAAAAACTTTGGTTACAAGGCTGTTAACAAAATTAAAACCTAAATGATGACTCATCTCCACACAGTGAACACATGAGTGCTGGCAGAATGGCTTTGAGCTGCTTTCAGCATTGTTTTTTTCAATTGACTGGGTGTTGATGATGATGAACCTTGAGGTCACTGTGGGGGTTGTGTGCCGCTAAAGTTCGCTGTATTCGATTGGATTTTACCAAACATAACGCAAGCTGTTAGGATGTCCCCATTTAATTTTGTCCAGCGAACCATTGCGGCCCTAGAGTCCCATCCTGTACCTAAAGTCATGCCCCTGAGGCCTTGAGGCTGCTATCTTTGTACATCTGGTGCCATGGGAGAGAGGGCACAGGACTTTGCCTTTCAGACTGATATTTTTGGAGTGGGTGTGATGGCTTGGATCCCTTTAAGAGCAGGGGGATTAGGATGATGCTGATGCTTAGTGTCTTGGCCTGGATGCTTGTGTGTCTTGCTGCCTTTGCCTGTTTGTCAGCTCGCTCTGTGTGGGGCTGGCCTTTGGAGCCAGATTTGCTTGCTGCATCTGTCTGATGTGCACGAGAGAGAAAGACATGGTATTGCGAGCGAGTGTGTGTGCGTGTGTATGACTGTGTGCGTGTGTGTGTATGACTGTGTGCAGCGAAGCTAACTGGAGCAGGTTGTCCAGGATGCCTACACGCTTCACAGCCTGGCTGTAGCCCTGTGATACAAAACTGTCAGCAATAAATGTGTGTGTCTGCACGCACAAGGGCTACTGCTCCACTGTGTGCATGCATGTGTAGAAATGGTGCATCAGTGACTCAGCGTCAGCTGTCACGTGTTCTGTGTGTGCACATGTTTACATGAGTGTGACTGTGACTCGGAGGAGCAGCAGGACGAGTCAGCCAGCGTCATCATATGACTGTCTCCTTCCCTGTCTTATCACCTGTCAGCTGTTCATGAGACGCACCATTGAAAACACCCACAAAATGGCATAAACACACACACACACACACTAGACAAGACAAGACACTGTATGTAACCATGTCTGGATGTTTTCTTCTATCTTTGACCAACCAAAGTCAATGTGACACGTGTATCGGCATAGCCTCGTTACTGCAGCTACATGGTTTATCTACATTAACAATTAATTGAACATTAATAGTTACTTTCTCTACAGCATGTTCAGTTTTGTTAATATATTTCCTTTCTAGGGTCCGATAAAAACTGTCTTACACTGGAACTGATGTTTTCTAGGATCTGCCTATTTAAATGTGAAATGTGATAATCTTGTCCAGTGCAGTGCACAACAATAATGTCAGCTCAATGTTTTTGTCTCTGTTCTGTTTCCCAGGTCTAGCTGGCCAATGCCGGGCCCATCGTGGACATCTGGCGGCGGTAGCAGCAGCAGCAGCAGCAGTGTTTATGTGAGCGTGCTCCCCTGCGCTTAGCCCATGTCCAGCCCATAATGCCGTCGTCCACACGGAAAGGTGTGCCGAAGGACCCCGAGCTGGCCGACCTCTTCTTCAAAGATGACCCTGAGGATGTCTTCTGTGACCTGCACGAGATCGGGCATGGCAGCTTTGGTGCCGTCTACTTTGTAAGTGCCATGGGTCTGGGACATGAGATGCTTTCACAATAACTGGAAAATGCGTATAACTTTCAGGCGAGTGTTTTAAAGGGGTGTAGACTATGAAGGATGCAGGACACAAAATATAAAGTCCGCTGCTGAAATCATGTGTTTTTGTTTACAGCTCATCAGCAGTGGTGTCAGCCGTCACCAAACCTTTAAAATCTTTCCAAGCTGTCATCTTCGTTGGCATCTTCTAATGTGTATGGCTCCAATCCTGTGATATTTGTATTCTTTTTGTTTTTTTCAACTTTGCGTCCATTGTGTGTTAGAAACAACATCATCACACAAAAATCTTCCTGCTGCATTTTCACATGGGCTCTGTCTTTTTCTGCATAATTTACTCTGGAACAGGCAGGAATATGTCTGGAGCAACTGACCTTGATATTTGCCTTCATACAGCCCCTCCGGAATGTCCAGACTTCAGTGCATGTGTGTTTGAAATGTTTGGCATTGTGCATCATTGCACTGTGGGAGTTATCAATAAGAATCTATTGGCTTTATTTAAATTGATTCAGTTGGAGTCTTGTAGGTCAGAAAGAAGGAAAGACAGCATGTGAAAGAGAAGCTGGATCATTGAAAGTCTACTTCCACTCACCGTAGCACTGCAATCCCTTTACCACATGATGATTATGATGCAAGCTTTGATTTATTTATTTACTTGATACATAATCTTTCATTGATTCACTGATTGGCACACATGGTAGTGCAGCCCACGATATTATTGCTCTTTGAATACAAGTAAGTGGAGACAGATTCCCTCTTAGCACTTTCTCTGTAGCCTTTCTTATTAATCTCATCATCACTAATTACTCATCAAGCCTTTGATTCTAGAGCTGCGTGGAGGAGGGTTGAAAGCACACAGCATCTCTCTGCTCTCTCTTCATTTCTTCTCCTCTCCCCCCCAGATGCTGGACCGGGGGCGATAAGTCTCCTCCCTCCCTCCTCAGACAGATGTTCTCTTGGTATAGAAAAACAGAGAAGCCGTTGATAGTGGGGCAGGATTTGCTCGGCTGCCAGGGCTTTACTATCCCCTTCTATCCCATGTCATTCACGCACACACACACACAGACACAGACACGTGCACACACATCCCCAGTACATCACTAGCAGCCTTGGTGCCCATGTCCGTCTGGCTAACAGGCTCCAGTGTGTGTCTAAATCCTGCCCTGATGCCAGTGCTGTGCTCATTGACATACTTCTGCATTTGCATTACAACTGGCACACTGTTAGCTTAAGCTATTAGCCCGAGCAGCTTTAGAGAAAATGTTTCACACGGCTTTTATAAATTCCAGATGAAGATGACAAATTTCCACAAAGTTTAAATACCAAAATGGCTGCACTGCCGACAAATACACATATGCTATAGTGTAACAAAAGATATATAGAAATACCTAAGAAATACTGTCCATCATTATTAACCCTACTTAAAATCGTAGATGGATTTTCAACTGTAGCATCCTTTGAAGAATATAAACTGCAAATTGCAAATAAGGAGCTTTTTTTATTTTTGTAGAAAATCACTTTTCTTCTATCTGCAGTCTTCATATCACACAGCATGCTTGTAGCCCAAAAAGCAAAACTCAGGGTCTATAAATTCCTCTCTGCTGCTCATTAAACACATTGCTTTGAGCACATTGTAATAATTAATGTTGACATGAGAAAACCATTTCTTTTTTATCTGTTTATTTTTGCAGCAGGGGTAGTCCGAGGACGCAGACATTTTAGGAACCAAATCAAAGTGAATTTCTTAAACCCCCGAGCACCTGAAGACATGGAGTCAGTACAGAGTCACTAGAAGGAAATTCAAACTTCTTGAAACCCTGATGCACTGAGACGATATTACGAACCACTGATCCACTGGGGTGCCCGGTTAAATAGTGGTTTCTGTGTGAAACCTTTACATCTATCTACCACACACACTCTGCTTGTCCCTTTTTAAGGTTCACGGATAAGCAGTGTGCTGCAGTATATGACTGCGTATTCTGTAAGATTATTACGTAAAGTACATTGAGATAATGTATGTTGTGATTTGGAAATTAAATTGAATGACAGCGCGGTGCAGTGACTTCCGCTGTAAATTCTATAATCTCATGAATATACTCCAGGTTATGTACTTGCATGCATATTCAGATAAATGCATGCAATTGTACGTTCATTCATAGTTAATGCGTGGGAGGAACTCCATTATGGAGTGAACAAGGGGAATTCCCTGTGTTGAGTATGCAGGCCCATCACCCAGGGCTTTGAACACACACTGCTCGATGTAGAATGAATGCACCCCCTTTCTTCTGCATTGACAATTAGCCTGAATGTATTTCAATATTTCAGCATTACATGATTTTTCTTTCTTTTCTCTTTTGCCACCTATCTATACACTACACCAGAGGGAATGGCTGTTATGCATGAACTGACAGGCAATAATACAGATCAAATGAATCTGAAAAAAAGTCACATGGGAACACCGTGTGGCCTGCTGTTAATCTAATTCCATCTGAATCCCGACATGAAATTCCCATTTATTTGTAAGTGAGATGAAGCAGCGATGAGAGCTGCAGCGTTGTCGTCCCTGAGGTCAAACGCCTCAAAGGTTAACGCCACGGGTTTAATGCTACGGGTTTAACAGCGGCACATGTGAACACTTGCAGCAACCGGCAGCTGCAGGCGTCTCCTAATCGCATTGTTGAGAGCTTTGATCAGGTGGAAATTTGTTTAAATTCAAATTACTGTTACTATCTTATCACTCACATGGAAATGTATTGCTTTGTGCATTATGGTTTTGCATGTTAACCTCTGAATCACCTCTGAAGTACTTCATGACTTAGTGTCTGGTGGTGAAAAGTCATTTATTTCCAATTCACAGAATGCTGTTTTACTCTGTACTATTTCATGATAATGTCTTTGAAAAATGATTTGTATACACAGTGCATCTTCATTTCCCTCACTCTTTATGTCTTTGTGCCGCTGACAGCCGGCGGCCAGACTGAGGCCACAGTGTCTCGGGTTGTCCGTCCATCTGTCTGTTGCATTCTTGTCAACACGATATCTCAAGAACACATGAAGGGAATTTCTACTAATTTTAGACTGAAAACAGCGCTGGAGTCATAACACAACATTTAAACAAAAATCACCAGCTGCTCAATCAGGCATCATGGTCTTCATCTACAGTGAAATTACTTCAATGCAGTGTGTTACCTCTTTATAGTGACTTATACTGAAGTGTTTGATATTGATTTTGTGTTTGATATTGATTCAGTGTTATTGATATGGAGCTTAAAGGCCAGGGTAAAAAGGTCCTGTGGTACATTGTGGGAGGATTAATGTACGAGTGGCTGCTCTTGTGTAAGATTTCAGACTTTTAAGACTTTACGAGAATCTGACCTCTTCCGTTTTCAACCCTTCAGGCTCGTAACTCTTACTCTAACGAGGTGGTGGCCATCAAAAAGATGTCCTACAATGGCAAGCAGACTACCGAAGTAAGAAAAACACACACACCACACTCACCACACACACAATAACATAATGACAATAAACATATTGCACGTATAATGTTTAAAAACTAAAGTGCGCCTGTAAATGCTCCACCACATTAAAGGTCTGTGGTCTGATAACATTTATCAAACAGTGAGAACAGGTGCTCACGATGTGAAATCACTGCTATGTCATTGATTCCTTTCTATTTAACAGAAAACTTAACACTAGTATGTGAAATCTTTCCTTTGTGGAGGTTAGTTTACCCTAAAATAACATGAAGATAGTCCATCACCACCATGTAAAGGTTGGAACAAACGTCTGCCACCTCTATACAAAGGTAACAGATGAATAAAAACCACAGTACCTGTGTGTGAGTGGTTGATTCATTGACGCTGTTGCTCTCACGGCGTTCTACACTGGTGCGTTAGTGTGATTGTACCTGTTTGTGTTTAACCACCTGTGCGTCTGCTTTTTGCTCTTGGCAGAAGTGGCAGGACATCATTAAGGAGGTCAAGTTTTTGGGGCAGTTGCGACACCCAAACACGATCGAGTACAAAGGCTGCTACTTGAAAGACAACACTGCCTGGGTTAGTGGATCTGTCTTCTCGTCGTCTTTTGTCCTAGTTTACGTCTCACCTTTACAACACCGTTATTTATCCTCTTCTTATATTTGTCTGATTCTTTTCATATTTGTCTTCATTTCTTCTTGTGTCCCACTGGCTGTGTTTTGTTAATGATAACTTATGATCACCTTGCAGTTGAGAACCACCTCATAAGTTTTCACAAACATGACGTAAAGCTCTTTTATGATTGAGTATGAATGATCAGTTATTGAGCTGTAGCTGTGTTCGGTTTCAGCTGGTGATGGAGTACTGCCTGGGCTCTGCATCAGATTTACTAGAGGGTAAGTGTATTTATTTATTTAGAATTTAATGTGGACACACACATTCAAATAAAACTGTTCTTTATTCTCTTTGTCAGGTCGTTTATCTTTTTCAAGACAGGCGCTGCTCAAGGCCACAAAAAAAAAACCTGAACATGTTGTTTCACTCTTTGATAATTGACCAATAAACTGTAAATACTATTGCAGTTTTCCATCTATCCTTGATTGCATGTTTACTCATTTATAACTTTTTTATTTCCCCATAATGGGGCTAATAAAGGGATTATCATATCTTAATTTATTTTAGATAACAAATGAGATATAACATGTTGACTAGTGAACTTTAGACAGAATTTACCTGTTTTCAGTCTTCTATCTATTCAGTGTTTTCCATGTAATCCTGCTGATAAATAAGCAAACTAACCAACAGACAGACAGACAGGAAAACATTACTTCCTTGGCGGAGTTAACACACAAGTAGCTCGTGTTTGTGTTTTTGACAGTTGTAGACTCAACCTCACTGTCCTTCTCTCAAGCTCAGTAACATAAAAACCAGTCCAGATCTTTTTTGACCTGAGTTCATGAGGTTGTGCTTCATTCTTTTCCTCAAACTCACAAAAACCTAATGATCTCTGATTATATCCTGTGTGTTTGTTATCATCATAATCAGATAAATGATACTTTTGAAAAACAGAACTGTCATATATAGAATAAATTCAACTGTATTGTCATTGCACATAGTACTAGTAAGTCGAAATGCAGTTTGACATCTAACAAGAAAGTACAAATAGTAGATTCAGGTGATTATAGTTCATTATTGTGTCCTTCAAGGCTGTAGAGCTTTCCCAATTATTTTCACTTATTTCTCCCCAAGTTCACAAGAAACCACTCCAAGAGGTGGAAATTGCTGCCATTACCCACGGTGCCTTGCTTGGACTGGCTTACTTACATTCCCACAATATGATTCACAGGTGAGTCAGTTTGTTTCTCCGCTTGAAAACGTTTCCTCACAGGAACATGTAGTGACTAAAGCAAAAAATCAAGATAAAATGAGATAGGAGACACTTGTCTTCTCCTTTTATTTCAGTGTTTAATCTGTAAAACCTTATGTTTGTAGTTTTGTGCGTGAAGACGCATCGTCCCTCTTTATTTACAGTACTTGGGCCTGATATACGTTCTCTTGGTTGTGATGCTATCGTCTATCGTCTCTTCATAATGCTCCTGCTCTTCCTCCCTCTCTCCTCTCGCAGAGATGTGAAAGCTGGTAACATCCTGCTGACTGAGCTCGGTCAGGTCAAACTGGCCGACTTTGGCTCTGCCTCCATTGCCTCACCTGCCAACTCCTTTGTGGGAACACCTTACTGGTTAGTATACACATGACAACATAGAAAAAAACACGGGATGTTGTTTTTTGCATAGAAATTACAAATTGTTCTGCAGCCTTCTTTTGCTGCAGGGTGTGTTTCACGTTTTCACCATCATGTTGTCAGTGATTTCTGAATTTCGATGCCCGAGGCTAATCTCATAAATTATAGGGAGTTTGCTTGGTTCACATTTGTGTTTTACTCTCCAGCCCTTTTCAGACATTCAGTTCTAAATGTTGGCCGTGTGTCTGAATAAATGTCAGAACTGCTTTTACGTGAAAGTCAGAACAGAAATTTTAGATCCGACCTAGTTAAACTAATAAATCATTAAAATTAATGAGGGAGTGAGAGGGCTGAGCATATCTCACGCTCAAGTTGGTCGTCATTGATGCAGCGTGTGAGTAAATTTACAATATGCCAAATATTATGCTAGCATCGTGGCTTATTCTGTAATAACCCTGTCGCTTCAGAACCAATGTTACGACCCAGCTCATGAGGTGTAAGGAACATAAAACCAGTTGTTGGTCGTTCAAATGAGGTATTTATTGATGGAGATGAAAATAAGTAAGTACAGAATGAGTGATTTAGCTAAAGGAAGGGGAAAAGAGCAGGAGTTAAAGATTCACCCAACTAAAGTGAATAAACAAGTGAAAACAAATCCTAACTAACTACTCACTGGAACCAAAACACAGTCAAACAGCATCCCTGTTCCTAGTGTGTATATACAAACGAGTCTTTAATGTGTGAGTGATGTATCAGTACCTCAAAGTAAACCTGTCCCAGTCCAAAGGTAGTTTCTCAGAGATCTTTACAATCTCAAAGTTCACTCAACAAAACAAACGCAAATCATTCAACAATAGGTTCTCTAATGAAGTATGCTGGCAAACTGCTAAGATTGGACGTGCTGATCCGCTCTTAACGCAGCGCAGTCTTGATTAAAGAACCTGATTGGAGAGCTGGACAGGGTGCTGCTCCAGTAATGTCAAAGAGGAAGTAGGAAGGTCGGGAACCACACCTCGAGGCGACATCTAATCGAGCGTGAGGTTCTCATCCTGCTTCAACTCGATCATAACAACTAGTTAAATACAGGATGGAGAGAAGGCCGTGCCTACAGTCATAACACCCACTCATCTTTGGTCCAAAAGACAAAATGACTTAAACTTACAGCTTTATAACATCAGCTATGTTATTTACTTAATGTCTCTAAAGGACGTGGGTTTATGTCTCAGTGTAATAAGTCTATTATACACACAGAGAAAGTCATTAACTCTACTTTACCCCCCAAAAATCTTCCCTCACACGTTCTTTAAAGCTTTGATGGTGAATGAATTTGTCACATAAACAGCTGGACTAGTAATGGATGTTCATGCAGCAGCCGACAGCACAACTTTGTCTCACGCGTCATGTTCACAGAAACACACGTTCCAAAAACTGAGCTGCAGTCACAGCATAACTGAGTCTTTAAAAGCTCTGAGAGGCTTAGCAGATTATAACATTTTCACGGATTTCACCTCATGCTTGCTGAACTGTGTGTGTGTGTGTGTTCACACTTCAGGATGGCTCCAGAAGTGATCCTAGCCATGGACGAGGGTCAATACGAGGGGAAGGTGGACATCTGGTCCCTGGGTATCACCTGTATTGAACTGGGTGAGTCTAAATCTACCTGCTGGTTAAAGATGTATAGAACAGTGTATAGATCCATATAGTCAACAGTTTAACAGACTTGAGATTTATTAAAAGTTGACAAAGCAAACATTTAATTTCCTCTTCCTTGGTTTATTTTAGCGGAGCGTAAACCGCCCTTGTTCAACATGAACGCCATGAGTGCCTTATATCACATCGCCCAGAACGACTCTCCCACACTGCAGTCCATTGAGTGGTGAGTTGAACACACTTCCCAAATATGTCTGTTCTATTTTACCCCCAAGTCTGAAGAGTTCTGATAAGAACAGGTATTCGGGCCACAGTGAAGAAAAAAACGAAATTGAAGATTTCGAGAATAAATTCGACATAATATGAAAATAAAGTCGTATACAATATCTCCAGTCTACTGTAAATACTAAAGCTCAGTCCGATCCGGGCTCAATCAGAGTAAAACACATCCCTTTGTTAATCTGCACGACTTGTGATCCGTGCCACAGGCCTCGTGCAAGGTCACACTCTTAAGTCTCTTATGTAATAACCTGAGAAGCCTCCACCACAGAGACATTGTGAAAATACTCTCATCATTCCTGCTGCGCTTACACGCACGTTGTAATGTTTATCAGCATCACAACAAAGCAGTGTGATTATTCTAATATTATTCTATTATTCTTTTTGTTTGCTCCACTAACTAGGGCGTTTCTCTCTGCAAAGACTCTGTTCCAGATGTAATATGGGAAAACAGCCTGCTTTATGCATTACTTTAGGCTGCTATCAGCCTCACAGCTCATGACTGTGGATGCTAATAGATTCTCCAGAGACTCTCCTTCCAGACATCAAAAAAAAACTTAAAGCATTTAATTTAGGCCAGCAGGTTTTAAACAGCTCTTTGCTGTCTCTTCTCAGCACCAGCCCGTCACACAGTGTCAGAAAAAGCACTTCACTTCAGTCAGGGCCAGTCGCTCTACCATAATAAAATCTGACATTTTCAAGTTAAGTGTAGCTAAAATTAATAAAGTGAGTGCAATCATTGATTTCTGCTGATACAGAACATATCTACAGTGTCTTAAATATTAATAACACAATGGGTTTTCATTGAGGACTTATTTTAGGAAGATTAATCATCTCTGTAACAAATGTAGTAACTCAAGCATGAAACGATTCACAACAGTCACCACACCTGAGCCATTCCACGATTTATATTCTCAGATAACAGGTAAATACTTTTTAGTTGACTATAGAGCGTGACTTTGTTAACATGGACACCAATGTTCCCACTATTGACCTTATCGTGAATAGTTACTCATACTGCATGAGTTGCTAATGGAATATTCCATTTATATTCCTGTTTTTTACATAGTCTGATTATTACTCACTTCACACGTCCAACGTTCATGCCAAAATTTCAAAACCCCATCCAGGGCATGTGTCGTCAAGCAGTTGATGTCATAAGATGAAAACATGTGAAAACATAAAAAGTTCCACCATTGTTGAAATTCCTTCCTCATTTCCTATGATCATCTCACTTGAGCTATTTTCTACACCGCCTCCTAGTGATTTCCTGTGGTACTGCTCCGTTTCGTCTGTTCCGCAGTGTACGGACAGAAGACTTCTACCTTACGTTGAGCAAAAATGAGTCTTAAGATGTTTACATGTCTATATAATGCATCTAAGGGCTGAATTGCAGATTTGCTTTTTCTAAGTATGACCTTATTCTGTTTAAGATCATCAGAAAATGCTGTTTACATGGCAGACTATTGTCTATACATCAAGGCAGCGAATATTCCAGCGTTCCTTCGGTTCGCTGTAGACTGCTCACACACTGCACATGAGGTGTGATTGTCATGGGAGGAAAACAGCGTGAAACACTGTATTAACCCCATGTTTGCTGTTCTCACTCTAAATTTATCGTTTCCATGATGTCATTACTATGCTATCAAAGTGAATGAAAGTCTTGCAGGTGGTTGTTTTTCAATAAAATATTGCAAGAGTCTGCATCTTGTGCACGGTCGAGCGAAGAAGCAGAATGTTGCTCGCTCCCTCCATCAGAACAGCCTGGAGGCATCAGTGGCCTTCCTGTGTCTTCCACCTTAAGCTCTCAATTAAATCAGGTTTCATTTTCACACTTTACAGAGAGAGCACGTAGAGAGAGCACGTATTGTGGTCTCGGAGAAATGAGGCAGGGTGAGACGTTGTCAGTCAGAATTCGCTGCCTGTGACTGTGGACGGCTTTTTGTTAAATTAGCAGTGGTTTCTAACATCGTGCTGAGGCGAGCGACTGTGTGGGGTGGCGCGGGGTTGTGGTATTTTTGGAGGAGCTCCAGCGGCCCGAGGCGTTAGCAACATACCGCCAGATGAGACTAGTAGAGACATCGGCTCCAGAGTGTTACCTCACTGCACAAAAAACACAAGGCTTCACTGTGAAGACCCTGACTTCACATACCTTCACTAAAGATGAGCTGGAGGTTTTGTTGCATTCACTGACCCTGGAATGACCCTAAACATTCATTTTCATGGACAAAAACCTAAATAGCATCATGGGCTTTGTAGGAATGACCTTAAGCAACAACCTAAAACAGTGTGTTACATATACTGTGTTATCATGATCATATTTTTAGATCTGAGTCAGTGGCACAGTGCTCCACAGCTCCAGTGGCCTATATTTTTATTGCTCTACATATTTACATAATCCGTATATGGTTCATGTATGGGGCTACGCGGGGGGATTACATGGGATTGTTCTGGTTTAATTAATTGATATGATAAACACAGCACAACAGAAGATTATTAATCATCACGTTCAAAACAGTCATTGACAGTGGGTACAGTCGGCGTGGCTGAACGCAGCCCATCATTAGACTGTCACTGCTGTAATCTCTTTAACCTTTTCTGATCCATAACCTCCATGTGAATCCTCTTCACCCAGGTCTGACCCCTTCCGGAGCTTTGTCGACTACTGCCTACTGAAAATTCCTCAGGACAGACCCTCGTCAGGGGAGCTGCTAAGAGTGAGTGGGCTTCCTTCGTAATCCCTGCAGCCGTGACCTCACTTCCTGCCTCAGTTAGTCCCAGAGCCTTGCAGATGAGTCACTCCCACCCACCCTAATATGCAAACAGATACACAGAGTATTCTTCCAAGCGCAGGCATCGAGCACCCTGCTGAGAACTGCCTGTTCTGATTTTTTTCCTTTTTTGTCCCCCATTTGTCGTAACTCTGCTTCTTGTGTAGCTTCAATCCTTCAGGGCTCAATAGAGCTTGTGTGTTTGCGGCTTTCACATCAGCACTTTGATCAGTGCCCAAGTGATATGAGTTTTTAAATGGTTGGTCTATCCGTCATTTAGCAGGTTACTCAGAGTATTTGTCTTTGCATGATGGGGAATATGAAAAATTAGAGTGGCGTTAAATAAACATTAACATAATGAAGATCAACCTAAATTATATTTCTAAGAATTAAGATAATTATTATTATCGACTTTTTTAGACATTATAAGACCCCAAGGAATCCCGAGACTGATAACTAAAAGATGAAACACAGTTTTACTTGATGACATTGCTTCAGCTATAATCCTGCCTATTCACGGCTCACATGCAAACCCCACCCCCCCCCATGAAAAACCCCACAATGAACATTCCCCTGTACCTGACAACTTGATCTTTTTGTTTGTGTGACCATCAGCTAATCCTACTGACCTTTTAAGAGTTTTATGTGCTTGGTGGTCACGCTCAACAGCCCAGCAGCTTTCACACCTGCCTCACCTTCTGAAGGCGTGAGGTTATTCTCGCGGTTAAACAAGAGGTTCTGCGCTGTCACCGGGATACGATCGACATTTACACCCCTCACCCAAATCCAGTCTGAAAAAACCATTAAAGAGGGATATGCAGTAAACAGACCAGATCAGTGAGGAAGGGGCTGCTTTGTGTTGAAGGGCTTTTTGGGGGCTGTAGTGTAGCCTATGATTAATTCCCCACTTTCCCTCCTCAGACACACACACACACACACACGCCCCTCCAAGATTTTGACAGAGGAAATCAGGTCACTAATCTGGGGGCCTTGAGATATCACTGTTCTGGCTTGAGGTTAAACACGCTTGCTCCCTGCGTACCATCGTTCAGAGTAATACTCATTATATGAATAATGAAATAAGAGCCGCTCAGTGGGCTCCTCCCATAAGTACTCACCGTTTATGCAAAAATGACTCACCAACAGCTACAAATAGCTCTGGATGATGATTCTATAAATTAAACAACAAAGCACATATATTCCTGGATATTTAACAACAGAGGACAAGAGGTTGTGTTCAAATGGATTATTTTTTCGGACCAACAAGTTCAAGTTTAATACACCATCTAGATACAGGGTTTCTGCTCGGATTTAAAGTCTATAATTGAATCTTCTGAATTTTAGGACTTAAGTATGTTAAAATATAACGTCATTAAACTTAGTTAGAGTTAATAATAAATGATAAAAAGTATGTAGGATCATAATTTGCTGATATTCTACAAAGTAAATCTGGTAGAAGAGGCCGGCGATGCTGCTCACAGAACATCCATGTCACTTCTTCTTAGCACCGCCCTCATAATGAGGAAGGATCCTGGAGATAACTTACACTGGCTGATGGGTCGGGGGTGGTCGAGCGCACCCACACTCCGTCCGTCAGAAAACGGGACAAATCACTCTCATCTCTATTTTCAGTGCAGTGATGTCATCCCCCCCGTGTCCTGACTTACCCATTACACCAGCATCTGTCACATGGAAGAGGACGGTGTGCAGAGAGGGAGATGGACCTAAAAAAAAAAAATTCACATCTCGTCGTATATATATATTTTAGTCTGACGTTGCAAACATTTTTAGCCATTTGAGCGCACAATAATTTATGAATGAGAGTGACTAAGAGGAGGTGTGAGTGTGTGGTGGAGTGGGTAGGAGAGCACAGCAGAGAACATCTTGTATTTTTGTTTTATTTTCATTTTTATTTCAGTACAGTAAATTGCCCCTGACCCACCAACCCTCAATTTGTATAATTTCATAAATACACAAAGACACCAAATTACACCGTCAACAAACTACAAAAGAACCTGCCATAGCTTAAAAATGTGATTTAAATGAGTCACCACTCACTTTAGTGGAAATATTAAATATAATAGTATTATAATAACCCTTTAATTTTAGACCTATAAAAAAACTGATTTAAAGCCTCTCATTATCATCACGTTCTTTAACAGTTGTTTCTGTTTCTGGCTATAATTTGATTAAAGCTCTCATTAATACAGAGGCAAATACAGAGAAGACATTAGTCACTGGAAACAAGAGGATTAGGAGAATTTGAGAAAATCGATTTTATGAACAATCTTTCACAGGAGGATGTGTGGAGTCCCAGGATCAGCTGAGCAACCTGCAGGCGCCCTCTAGTGACAGGCACAGTTGTGGTGTTTATTGAAATGTGATCATACAATGGATGAGATAAGTTCAGAGCAGCACAGAGCAAAGATGTAAAATAAGATCTCCTTCAAACACAATCTTTAAGCTTCGGTTCAAATCACAGTAACTAATCTTGTTTCGATTTAATCTGCTTTACTTTATCGTTTAGTATTTGTAAATTGTAATATGTAGTCTGTAGTCAATTTTAGGTAATTTTAGGTGAAAACCTCGGAAATTTAATTGCAGTAGAGCACAGACACATTTCCATATTGCTCAAAAATTAACCATTTAACACTCAAACATTTTATCATATGTAGAATGACCTTACTACGTAACTTTAATTTGATCAGACTACAGTATAAGAAAGAAAAAAACAATTCTTTCCTCATTCTTTCCTCTTCTCATTAACTTAAGACCCAACTTACTAATTGACGTTCTCCTTCTGTTTCTCTGTCCAGCATGATTTTGTGCGTCGGGAGCGGTCGCCACGTATTCTCATCGACCTCATCCAGAGGACCAAGGATGCGGTGCGTGAGCTGGACAACCTGCAGTACCGCAAGATGAAGAAGATCCTCTACCAGGAGAAACACAACGGGCTGATGGGAGAGAGCCAGGAGGAGGAGGAGGTGGGAAGAAGAGGGAGACGTGGGGGAGTTGATTGGACAGTTTTTCGGTAGAAAAAAAATAATACAGGTGAAAGCAGATGAAGGAGGCAAGAGAAGAACAGGGGGTTAAAAACACAAAACCAGTTGAGCTCCTTTTAAATTCTGTTCACAATCCTTTAACTTTCACCTGAAAGAGAAACTGAATTTCTGCAGGTCACTTTTACAGTTTCACAAAAAAAGATGCAACAGCATGAACAGACGTCGGAGAGGCTTAGGAAAATAATTTGTCTGCAGTGATAGAGTTTTGTCACTTGATCTGAGTCAACAGAGGATCTGGGACTCGCAGCACAGAGGGTGAGGACAGGTGTCTATGTCCGAGCTGATGTTCTAGAGGCCTTTCTTCTGCAGCCCGACGTTGGGTTGAAATGCCCGTTAGTTGACCTGGGCCTGAGGCAGCATGAACAAGCACAGACAGCCAGCAGCCACAATCCTGTCATCCTACACCACGTGATGCAATTCAGAGCAGCCACCAGGCCTCCGTGCAACAAGACACCCCCGAAGGCTGCACTGAGAAAACCTGCAGTCCCAAAGCGTTCTGGTTTTAGGAGAGGATGCAGTGGAAAGATTGATTATAGCTTTCTGATCTACAGCTCTCTTGCTGGAGACTTGAAGACTGTGCTGCTCTTTAAAGCTGTGCAGTTTGATTCCACTTTATCTTTCATGGTCTCACACTGACACCACTAAATGATACACGCATCTGAAGAGTTCGAGTAAAACATAAATAAACACAGTTTTGACTTTGAATCAACCCTGAGGTTGATGGCGATGATGAAAGACTGTGCACCATTGCATGACTCTTGAGTGCTGATTTATGGAACCACGTCTTTATGAATGTGTGTGTGGATGTTCCCTTGCAGGACAGCGAGGCGGCCAGCTGTAAGATGAACAGCCTGGGCAGCAACCACTCCATCCCCAGCACCTCCGTCAGCACAGGCAGCCAGAGCAGCAGCGTGAACAGCATGCAGGAGGTGCTGGACGACAGCTGCTCCGACATGACCATGATGCACCCCCAGGAGTACGGCAGCACCCTGGACTCCTCGCCGCACACCAAAAAGGTAAAGGTCAGGGGTGAAAGGGAGGTGGATGAGGGATTAAAAGTCATAACCAAACAAAACCGGAGTCACAAACTGAAAACCAGAGTGAGAAGTTCTCAGTAGATCCCAAAATCTTTTGTCTGAGCAGCCCTGCTTTGTATGAGCCCTCTTACCCCGTCACTGAAACCAGGTCATGGCCCGTATTTGTTTAATCCCCTTTGCTGATATCTGCTGATTCTAGCAGCACATCAAATTTCCCCTTTTCCCCAAACAAGGCCCTCAAAGGATAAGCAGTATAGATAATGAATGGAAGCAGTACTCCTGTGGTAGTAACCACTTTTTGATCTACTTTGATTTGTGAGAATCTTATTCCTCAGTTACACAAAACAACGTCACTTTCTTTATTTGGTAATGACAACACTCCAGAAATGGAAACGACACACTGCTCCGTTGAAAACATCCTCTGGGTTTTTTCTCACTGTTTTCACGAGTGTGTGTAATCCCCTCCCCCCCCTGAAACCATGGAAACCATCGACATAGTCCTCACTGTTTGGCAGATAGCTTCAAGTTCATCACAGACACTGTTCACGCTCCAAGAACAAAGGCTGTGTACACATGTCGACAAGCATCACACACACACTCTTACAACTCACACACACACACATTAACACATTACAGGCAGGTCAACACAATGTGTAACATTCTCATTGAATTCCACATATGACTGAAAGATGTGTGAAGAGACGTCTGTCACTGCTCCGTCATTCTCTTTCTTCATCTGCTCTTTGTGTTTTGACAGTGCATGAATACGCACATCACTTTGTGCACAGTCAGAGTGTTGTTTCAAGTTCAGGGGGCTGAACTGAGAACAAATGAAAGTGACACATATTGTTGTGAGACTCTGATGAAGATCCCATCTCACATGAATCAACTCTCTGGTCCCAAAGGTTCCTGAAAACGTCATGTCGGGGGGGGGGGGCGTCAAGTGTTGACTTTTCATCGTGTTTTGAAAGTTTGTGGTTGACACAGTTTCAGCAACGGCTGATGATTCCTTTTGATTATAAGATGTCATGTGATTAAAAGTTAATGGGAAATGTTGTTATTTAAAGAGTTTTACGGTTGCCATGTTCAAAGGAGAGGATTTTTTCATTTCTGTGTGTAAAAGTTTTGAAGATTAAAAAGGCAAAAGTTTAAGTCACCTGAAACACCTCGTCAGTAGTCTGGCCAATAAATCCCCCCCACATTTGTATTAGCAGCTAATGACAACTTTTGTTATGGTTTGATTGAGAGACCGCTTGAGGTCAAAGTTACTTTTAAATCGAGAGTTTTCACATTTATTTTTCACCTCAGTCTCATTAAAAGAAGAAAACTCGGGTCGTGACTCGTTTCTCCTCATTGTGTTTCCTGCAGGACCATCAGTACAACTGGGACGACGGGATCCACAGGGACCACCGGCCCGAGCTGAGGCCGGCCTCCTCCGACAAGAGCAGTCAGGTTCAAAACTACAAGAACCAGGGCCGCTTCGCCACCATCAAGTCTGCCTCTCTGGTGAGTTCAAAGAAACTATTTCCAAAACATGTTTAATTTGCGTGTGTTGTTTTGGAAAATCAAAAACTCAACTTCACGCTGACGTTCTCCGAGCAGCGTTCAAGATCACAGATGAGGAATTGTTTCTGTCACTGATTCTGAAGGACATGGAGTTTGAGTGTGACGTAATGTCTCCACGCTGGGAAAAAACGTTGTTAGCAGATCTGTCTTTCCTTTTACATTTCCCTTCCTCACTGCTTCTTCACTCAGATCTTTTTCACCAACTCTTTGATATTTACTCTTTGTTTTCTGTTCTTTTGCTCATTATTTTTCTTTGTCTCCTTCCATCTTTTGGTCTTCACCTCTCTCTGCCTCCAGTTTTGGCAAATTTCTTCCACAATTTTCCATTTCTCCTCCTCATTCCTATTATTCACCTCACTCCTTTTGTTTGTCCTCCTCTTGTGCTATGCTTCACGTTACCTCTCCTCCCTGTCCTCCCTCTCCTGCTCTTGATAAAACAACATTCTCAGATCTGACTCAATATTCTCAGCTGAAGGGGGGGGGGGATTTTCTCTCTCTCTTTCTTTCTATGTATCCCCTTTTCTCTCTCTCCCTCCCTGTCTGTTGTCATGGAAACCAGCTCTAGTAACTAGTAAGTAGTCGCAGTGTGTGTAAGTGTATGAGAGTGTGTGTTTATGTGTGTATTTGTGTGTGTGTGTTCACCCATCCATGACCAGTTGGTTTTAATAGTGAGTCCCGTCTGTTGTCAGGTCTTAAACCAGACCACAACACGAGCAGGGCAGTGTGTGTGTGTGTGTGTGTGTGTGTGTGTGTCCTTGACCAGCACGTGAACCACTGATCAGGGCTGTGTGTATTATTCACACACCACTTGAGATTTCTTGTGTTTTTGTTTATCTTTCAGTCGTAGCTTCTCATAACTTCAACGCAGACATTGATCAAATCTGTATGATTCCATCTTGTTGTTCCAAATTTTCAGTGAAAATAGAAACATATCATCAAATTCCAGAGTAAGAATCCACCCTGGAACATTTCTTACTGATATACGGTTCCTTTCTTTACTGTTTCACTTTTCCTTCTTCTTTCCTTCCTTGCCAAAAAAGTATAAAACAAGGTCATTACTCTGTCAAGCATTTGTTTCATTGGCCCACCGGGAGGAAACACTATCTCAGTTTTATCTCCAGAAGCCTCCACACTGTTGTTTCCCAACCGTTTTTTGACCTGTGACCCTTTAAAATGAAGCAGTGTCTTGACTCAACGTAAGTCTAGCAGTTAAAGTGATTCACTTTCTCGTGTAATGTAAATGTTTTTCTCTCGGTCATGTTCAACTTCATGAATGTGCCAGAAATTGAGAAGCTCTCTCACCTCACTTGCACGATGCGGAGAAAGAATCGCTGTCCCAGCTGTTAAAAGCAATAAGTACACAAATGTTCATGGCTATTTAAGCACCAACGCCTGGTACTTCAATTTGTGCCATAATGTCAGGCAGGAGAAGGTGCAGTCACCTTGATCATTGTAAATTGCTGTGGATTAAATTCAAACAAAAATATGAGCAGCCGAGGTTGCACACACTGCGTCTGCAGCTCTGTGTAACTGAACGTCTGTCTTGAAGAGAGACAGCATCATGTAAACCACAGCGTCCCCGCCGTGTGATTGTGCTGGTCCTGCCCGCCGGCGCTGAAAGAGATGACATCATGTTTTTCTGCTGAGCGCAGACGTCCTCAGATTGGCCTCAACTCGCTGAGACTGGAATCAGCAGGTAGACAAAGAGAGAGGGAGAGAGAGGAGCGGGGGGTCCAGATGGTGAGGGGTGATGGAGAGATGAAGATGGAGAACAGGAAGAGAGAGAGATGAACGAGAAGAATGGAATTAAAAAAGGAAAATAATGAAAAAGCTGGAAGTAATAAGATGCATCCTCACAAACGCAAGTAATTCCAGAGTGAGAAGTGTTCTCGCGTTTTCAAGACAAAGGAGGAAATCAAGGTGATGGAGGGAGATTCAAAGACATTAGAGCGGGAATGAGCTGAAAGAGCGTGACAGCAGGAGGAGGAGGAAAAGACGAGGAGGAGGAGGACTCAGACAAGATATCAGAGAGATGAGGACAGATAGAGAGAGAGGTGGGAAAAAAGAACAGCGCAGATTAAAATGAAACGATGGACAAGACAAAAAGAGGTGACATGATGCAGAGAAAGAAAAAGAAAGAAAAGGATGCACAATAGAAAAGAAAGAGGTCAAACTGAAAAGAAATAAAAGATGAGGCTGAGAAAGTGCAAACTAAGGAGAAATGAACAAGGCAGATTTAAGTGAAGGACGAGAAGGGAGGGAAACGGTGAAAAGAAAAAGGGGAGGAGAATGAATGTGAGGCGTGAGAGGGAGGGCAGGGGTTATCATAGGTCAGAGGAAGTAACGGACTGAAGCTTGAGGTGGAATGAGAGACGATAGCAAAGTATTTCACCTCGTATACTTTTAGACGCAGCAAACCACACTTCTTCCCCGTCAGTGTAAACAATATATTTGAATGGTATTTATTAGTTATTTAGCAGAAATGGATTGGAAGACTTCCTGCAGGTATATGTCGGAGGTTGTGGTTAAACCAGATGCTCACTTTTTGCATAATATGCTCCTGAGCTGATACATGAGAATACTGAGCCCCCCCCCCCCCATGTGCGTCCATGTACAGGAAAACGGGGCAATAAATGATGGTCTGTGGAGGTTTTTAACTTCCCTCCTTCAGCCAGATGACTTCACCATATGTTGCTATACATCTGTAGATACATTCAACATGCAGATGTTTCTTCTTCTTCTTCTTCTTCTGTCTTGTACCTGACAAACATTGGACTTAAGTTCATGTAATGAAGAACATAAGTGAAACCGTCAGGGAGGTTATGTTTTCGTCTTTGTTTGTCGGTGGTGGAAGGATGTGGTCTCGGTGAGGGAGAGAACCCAGTACATGTTGGCTTTTTCTTTCACTTTTGCAAGATACTTTTGAACATAATTTCTAAGAGAATGATCTATGGATCTTGAAAAGAACATGTTAATGTGGATATTTACGAGAAAGTGAAATTTGGTGCAGATCTAAATAAAAATCTGGATCTTGTGAATTTAAATGTGGTTTCATGAGGAGACTGTTGGTGGAGATACGAGCTCAGTGTCCTTCCAGTTTCACCCATGTTTATAAAGTATGGGAGAAAAGACCCTTTTTATTCCCTTTATATTAAATACATTTTACAAAGTCCTTAGGGAGCACAAACATTGTTATGCATGTGTTGTCTTTGGCATTAATTTAACTCTTTAAGATAACGTCTCTTTCTCTGGAGGAGGTGCACGTGTGAACACAAATGCTTGAGTGAGTGAGTGAGTGAGTGAGAGAGAACGTGTGAGCGCTCAACCTACTTATTTCTTACAACACAAATCAGTCACAGCAAACCACCATCCGCACATTTCTGATGCTCAGCAGATATCGTCCTCTCAGTGCTACACAAAGGTCATTTAAGACAGACCTCATTCAACTGCTTAATAAGCAACATAACTTAATGAAGCTGTGAAATTCCCACTGATCTCACTGGAACATTCACCTTTCGCCTTCATGCCGCCCCTCCACTCCCTCTGAATATGATCTCCTCTGCAGGGCCTGAGCCTTGTGTGAAAGAGGCCATCACATGACGTGACTTGGCCCTTTGTAGCAGCATGCAGGGTGGCAGCGAAGCAAGTGACTGGGATTGGGAGCAGTAGTATTACAGTAGGGGTATTGATTCAGCACAGATTCAGGAGGTGGAGCTCAAACCTCCATTTATTTCCACCTCTTCCCTGTAGACGCTCTTACTTTACTTCTCATTATTTCAATTTTCTTACCTTCTAACTCTTCTGGTCATTCTCCATCTGCTGCTTCTCCTTTGCAATCGCCCCCCTCCTCTCATCTCTCTGCCTTCTCCTCTCCAACCTCCCCCCTTCAACTTCTCTCACTCCTTCTCAATGAGGTATTCATGTGACCCACCTGCTGTACGCCGCTTAGCGTTTGCCCGACTAAAGAGCCGCTCTGTGCTCTTGTTGGCCTGCGGAGTTGGCCTGCCTCATTCGTAGTTCATACGCCTGCCTCTGCCGCTGCGTGCCCAGGGCGCGAACCAAGGAGAGAGAAGCGAGGGGGGGTCCTGATCCAGTAAAGGGGTGGGGGTGGGGGGTCTCAGGGTGGCATCGGAGTGCAGACGAGGTTCTGTCAGACGTAGGATGCTGCACAAGGTTCCTGGATGCTGGTGCACTTGGCTAAAGTAGCCATCATGTTTGGCCGGAGGAGTTCAGGTGGAAGTTATGAGAAGATGCGGAGCGAGTATTACTTGGACGTGGAAAACCCTTTCTGTGCTCAGGTTGGTGTGTCGGATGTAGGTTTTTCTACAAAAGAAAAAAAGATGATGTTTCTGTTCAGACATTTAATGTGATTCTTATTTTGGATTAAATGTGATAATGGGGATGTTCAGTTGTTTTGTTTTTTTCTTGCTCCATTTGGTTTGAACACATTTCAGGTCGTTTTTCTGGTTTCCTGATCTGTGCGGTGACTGTGTGCGATGGTCAAATGAAAGAGCTTTTGTCTGGCTCACAGCTAAAGGATTTCACACAATCATTTTCTAAAGTCTTAATTTATCACTTGTTGAATCATTTTAAGGTGCTCACTGTGAGCAGAGGCTAATCTGAAATTTATTTTGTTTTCAACTCATCAACCAAAAGATGACCTGGATAAATTGGTGCTGAATATTAACAAGGTGACAGATTGAACGTCGAGTTTTGATTCACCCTGTATTTTAAAACCCTTTAATGTCTCGTATATGTAAAACAACATTGTTTTGAGTCTGATCATACAATCAGATGCCAGAGCGCTCACATCTCCTAACTTCTCTTCCTCCACAGGTGACCAAGCAGATCCACGAGCATGAGCAGGAGAGCGAGCTGCGGGAGCAGATGTCGGGCTACAAGCGCATGCGGCGGCAGCACCAGAAGCAGCTGATAGCCCTGGAGAACAAGCTGAAGGCCGAGATGGACGAGCACCGGCTCAAGCTGCAGAAGGAGGTGGAGACGCAGGCCAACAACGCCTACATCGAGCTGGAGAAGCTGGCGAAGCGCCACGCCGTGCAGAGCGAGAAGGAGGTGGGCTTTGTCGGAGGGTGGTCGGGTTATTGCACATGAGTGGACGCACAAGTGCAGTAAACCCTAAGTTATTTCACAGATGATCTCAACGTGCATCATGCAACAGTTCATTCGAGGGATAAAGTTTGCTTTGGAAAAAATAAGGGAGGAAATGATTGAAGATATTTAGATTCTGCTTCTGGAGGAAAGTTTGTTTGATTCTGTTCAGTTATTGTTTACTCAATGAAAGAGGAGTTAAGACTTGACACACTGCTGCCACCCAATGATACATACGATGAAACACAAGGGTAGAAGTAGGTCAGACAATGTCACGCTCTGAAAAACAAGCTGTGTATCCCAGTGATTAGCGTTTGGCGTGCCGTACCGACCACAGAGATAATATATCTGCTCATATAGACCAGCAACATAAACACACGCGGTCACAAGTCATAAGCGTGTGTGTGACACATCTCAACTGTTTATTAGATGAAGGTTAAATCAGTGTGTGGTCTGTTTTGATACTTTAATGAAAACCACTTTTAAATCTCACATTAAATCGAATTTATAAATTTACAAAAGCTACAATAACAAGTGGGATCGAACCCTAAACCAACCAATCACCTCACAGCCCGAAATCTCTAACTGATCGTGGTGTAAATAAACGACACAAACATGATAAGTGAAATTAGCTGCAGCTATTTATTTATTATTATTATATAATTATTACCTCCACCAGGAAGATAAGGTTTTATCTGTGTTTTGTTTTTTGGTTAGTTAGCAGGATCACACAAAAACTACTGGACGGATTAACACAAAGTTTTCTAGAGGGATGCAGAATTACGTCTTCAGAGAATTTGTCTGAATATTTACGGAAAAAAATCTGACATTTAGGCAGTTGGAATTTATTAGTTTGTGCAATTTTGTGTGGAACCAAATGAACTAACAGCTCTTCGCCCCTGTTCCCTGCACCCCCCTCCCCAGATGAAGACGGCGTTGGCGGATGAGAAGAAGTTCCAGCAGCAGATCGCGGCGCAGCAGAAGAAGGAGCTGACCACTTTCTTGGATAATCAAAAGAAGCAGTACAAACTCTGCAAGGAGAAGATAAAGGAGGTGCCCCACGTTTTGTTGATTTCCTTTTTTTCCATCCTTTTGTGTGCTTCTCCCTCCTCTGTGACACACAGTCCAGCCTGCTGTGCACAGTTGAATCAGCCCTCCTCCACACAAACATGCACATTCACTCCAAAGTGGTCTTTTGGAAGTTGTGTTGAGTCACACGGCCCACTCACCGTGTACCTACACATGTATATACACACAAACGTGGAAAACCCACAGATCCATACGCACAGAGCAGCGTTTATGTGCCTCCGCAACCTTGAAACAGAGTCCAGATAATACTCCTGTGGGCCGCGAGTGTGATGCACTGTGTTTTCAGTTCCGAGATAAGTGACCAAAATTAGGTCAGCGCAGTTAAAAGAAAGCGTCTCTGGCAGGGAGAGATATTTCCCACCAACTGAGGGCTATAACGGAATTAGACACCACAGAGAGCGAGGATCAGGCTCATGTGTTAAGTGTATTAGCGCGAGTTGTAGATTACCTTCAAGCCCATGAAAGAGAAAGAGAACGCATTCAGAGGAGGGAGAGGTTCGGTGGAAATTATGGAGCTTTCAACCATAATAAAGTCAGCTGTAGTTCAGGACAGAAGGTCAGCTGGAGTTTGGCATAAGCTCCACAAACATACGATAATGCTTTTTCTTTTTATTCCACATTCAAAACATGTAGATTATTCAATATAATAGTCAAGAAAATCTGCTCTTCACTCATTCACTGGTTTAAACTCATCATAAAATGAGTTCCTCACACTGTTCCCATGATGGATAATCCAAAACTTTCCCCCCAATATGTCAAATAAATCTACTCATCACGGATCGTTCTTTGTCCTTTGGTTCCTCATGTATCTGCGTTTGAACTTCCACCTCTTCTCAGGAGATGAACGAAGACCACAGCACACCGAAGAAGGAGAAGCAGGAGCGTCTGTCCAAGCACAAGGAGAACATGCAGCATTCCCAGGCCGAGGAGGAGGCTCACCTCCTGGCCCAGCAGAGGGTTTTCTACGACAGGAACTGCCGCGCCTTCAAACGCAAAGTCATGATCAAGAGGCACGACGTGGAGCAGGAGCAGATCCGAGAGGTGTGAAGAACATATATATATGTATTCTTAATTTAATCTTTACATTTATGAAGCGAGTTCGCCAAAACACATGAATCTAGTTTGAGCTTCAAAATAAAATCCCTGTTCATGAATTGTTATTGTTTGTGACGTTGGTGTGAACGAGCCCAGAGTAATTATTTTTCTCAGAAAACGTCAGCGTGTCCCTGATAACTGCACCCATTGTTCTGATCTGATCAATGAGGTGTTGCCTATTAACTGTAAGAAGATTATTCGAGTAAAGCATCACAGCAATGTAATAATCTGAAAAGCTGTTGTGTAAAGAGTCTTTATGTGAGAAAATACACAAAACTCTCATCACATTTTACACAACAGTTTAAAATCCCAAATTAATGGAGATTTAACGTGTGATATTTATGGATTTTGTTGATAATGAATGATACCGAATGTTCTGAGACTGAAACAAATGAAAAAAATTGATTTCTACAGGGGGAAATGATAATCAGTAGCACCTGCAGCAAGTCATCCATGCCCCTTCTTCCTCCATGTTGCCTCCCTCCTAGGAGCTGAACAAGAAGAAGACCCAGAAGGAGATGGAGCACGCCATGTTGATCCGTCACGACGAGTCTACGCAGGAACTGGAGCAGAGGCAGCTGAAGACCCTGCAGAAGCTGCGCATGGACCTGATCCGCCTGCAGCACCAGACGGAGCTGGAGAACCAGATCGAGTACAACAACCGACGCGAGCGGGAACTCCACCGCAAGCACGTGCTGGAGCTCCGGCAGCAGCCCAAGAACCTCAAAGTGAGTCGACGCAGGGACGATAAAGGATTTTATACATGTGGTGGTTATTGTCCCAAGGGGTTGAAATTCAAACCAAAACCTTTTGTATTCAGATCCATATTTCCAGAAATGTTCTTGTCTTTGAGAATATAAATTGGAGTCATGTCTTAAGGTGATGCAAACCACGAGTAGTTTTTGACAGTGATGAAACATGGATGTAATAAATTCATTTGAAAAATAGAATGGCACTCAGTAGAACCTCTGCCGAGGCCAAACAGTTCCCTTAAATTCAATCAAGCTGCACCAAATTTAACACACTCATAAATCTCCGTCCCCTAAATATGTCTTTGTTGTTTTCATCAAGATCTCTGCTTTATTTCACGAGAAATTCAAAATAATATGGAAAGATCTCACAAGAAGGGGAAAATTAAATCGTGAATCTGCTCCAAAGTTTCTTCCTCCGCTCATACACCGTCAATGAAGTTTCAATAAAATCGGTTCAGTCGATTGTAATTCTGAAACCATTGAAACAAACTTATTCTGTTATTCTCTCCGTCCTCTTCATCAGGCTCTGGAGCTGCAGATCAAGAAGCAGTTCCAGGACACGTGTAAGGTGCAGACCAAGCAGTACAAGGCGCTGCGCCACCACCAGATGGAGGTCACGCCCAAGGCCGACCACAAGACGGTGCTGAAGGCCCTGAAGGAGGAGCAGACGCGCAAGCTGGCCATCCTGGCCGAGCAGTACGAGCAGAGCATCAACGAGATGATGGCCTCGCAGGCGGTGAGTCGACAGAAGTTAACGTGGTCATTTTTCTTATAAAAGCACAAAGGAATATTTCAAAGTAAGAAATTTAGATCTTTGAAGGAGATTCTCTCTCCACCCGTTGTTTATGGTTGTCCTCAAATCGTATCATGTCTTTGTCTTATATCGTTCTCTTCTCTCTCCCCCTTTGTCCCATCTCCTCTCCATGTCCCTTCCCATTATTTCTGTCTCTATTCCTCTTCTCTCTCTCTCTCTCTTCCTATGTGTCTTATCCATGAACTCCTCCACCCCACCCCGACCTCTCTTCCTCTGTCTCTTTGCGCCTCCCTCTCCCCTGTCGTGGTCCCTGGTCGGCCGTGTCAGCTGCGTCTGGACGAGGCCCAGGAAGCCGAGTGCCAGGCCCTGAGGCAGCAGCTGCAGCAGGAGATGGAGCTGCTCAATGCCTACCAGAGCAAGATCAAGATGCAGACCGAGGCGCAGCACGAGCGTGAGCAGCAGAAGCTGGAGCAGAAGGTGTCGCTGCGCCGGGCTCACCTGGAGCAAAAGGTGCCAAACTAAATCACCAAACTAGTTTTGACACACTCGTAACATTTCTCGGGTGTCAGTGGAGTAGTTAGGTCCTTCATGGTGACCCAGGACATGTCAGGTCTGAATGATGTCTTAATGTGTCTTGGGGACTTAGAGCTGTCCATCTGAGATGCATTGGCACGCAGGTGTGAACAGACAGTTTGTTGTTATCCATGTTTTTCTGACTCATCTCATCTCATCGACCTCTTCAGGGTCACCGATGACCAATTCCTCTAAGATCCCATTAAAAGGACGAAAAGGAAAGTAGCCTCATCCTCAACCTCAAGAAGACATGAAAAAACATAAACACACATTTTAGGAAAGTACATCACAAACAGGATGTAAACAAACCGTTTAAAGTCTGAAGCATCTGAGTCTGCGGACATGAAACAAACAAGTCGAAACGCAAACATCTGTTTTGTCAGTTTCCTTGATGTTTAAGGAAACGGGTCCTGATACATTATATATGTGCTTCCGCCTCAGCAGGCAGCGTGGCCATGAAAGTCGACCCAGACAGACATCCACGAGTTCACACAGATTTCCGTCCCCACAGGTGGCGATGACAGTGGTGTGGCGTCCTGCAGGGAGCAGCCGTCTCTCCCACACACTCTCTACGCCACTGAATTGTTCTATTATTACAACATTTCTGTCGTCTCCTGTTTCTAACACACACTGAGGTTGTTGTTTGTCTGAAATCTGTTTCTTTTACATATCTTAAGTCACATTAGATGTGACATCTGCAGCCGCGTTACAAGCTGACAACTAACTTTCATGCTTTGTGATGATTTTCCACGTCCTCGCACACACTGGACGCAGCTTCATCGATGTTTGTCCCCTAATTCGTTTACGAGACGCTCCAGACAGAGACACGTCTTCAGTGTGAGCGTTCAGACAACCTGCCGTGTACTCTGGTGACATGTGATGAGATTAGAGCGGCCGAGTACGCCTCCTTCCACAGTGACCAACGTCATCGCCACAGTCTAGTAGACAGCGCTCCGACAACAAAGACACATTTGAAATGCCGCCTTGATCCAGTTCTGCTGGGCCCAGTGTGGTCTGTGCCAGTGGCTGTGCTGCGTCGCCCTCTCCTGGCTGCGTGCAGACCTGCACTGTGGGGACCGGTATGATGTCATGGTTTTAGAAGCACTATTGTCCTCTGGTTCGGTTCATGGTCAGAGTCTGGAGTTTTCTGTGCATGCTCAGTAAGTCGCTCAGATTGCCGTATTGCGCCATGCAGGGCTTTGTCTGCACCTGAGTCTGTGTGTGTGTCGAGCTGACGTGTGAGTCTGAAAGACGGAGCAGACACAAAACAACTTGTGCCACCGAAACCTGATTAATAAAACTCACTCACACATTTACAGTGGGAGAGAGAATGCAGCCGCTACATCACCGAGTGAAGTGACGAAGACAAACGACTGTGCAGAATCATGAAAACACAAAAACACGACGACCCTGTGATCAGTGAGGATTTACAGTAACAGTGTCTGAGAGCTGCTGGTTCGACTCCACTGCTCATCAGTGGTGTTTTGTGATTCTCTTAGTTTTGTTTCCCTCTGGCAAGAAAGAAATGAGAGCAGTAATAAACTCTGTGTTGATGTTATCACTGAAATAAACAGCGTCTCCATCGCTCCACTCCTCTGTGGCGAAGAAAGACGCACAGCAGCTACTCTTCATTTGTTTTCTTATTATTATTCTTATTATTCTTATGAACAGGAAAAATGATAAAAGGCTGAATGATTTGTACATGTTGGATCTGTCCTTGTCAAATTGTCCTCTGGACGTTTTAATAGGTTTTCGACAGATTCATTTTTCTGACACTAAATCTTTACACTTCCTGCAGATTGAAGAGGAGCTGGTTTCCCTTCAGAAGGAGCGAACCGACCGGATCAAGCACCTGCTGGAGCGCCAGGAGCGGGAGATCGACAGCTTCGACATGGAGAGCATGCGACTGGGCTTCTGCAACCTGGGCACCCTGGACTTTCCCAAGGACGACTACAGATGAGGGGCTGCTGCTGCTGTCGTCTCTCCTCGTCACCCCCGGGCGTCCGTCTGCCTCTCCTCTCCTACAACCTGACCTGACTGTGCAGGTGTTCACTGCTGCTGACGTCCTCACACACACACACACACACACACACACACACACACACACA